CTTACTGCCTGTACCACTACAGCTACCAGTACTTACTGCCTGTACCACTACAGCTACCAGTACTTACTGCCTGTACCACTACAGCTACCAGTACTTACTGCCTGTACCACTACAGCTACCAGTACTCCCCCTGCCTGGTTGTAAGCATAAGGAAACTCCAGGAGACCAGCTCCCAGTGCTGCATTCACTACCAGGAATACAGAGGCTCCCCATGAGGTTCCTGAAAAATCAAATTTCTATAATAAACTACAGTAGTCCTCCATATGCTTAAATGTGAGTTTTTAATACATGTGTAATGTACATTCCTTAACTTAAGTGTGTTTGTTGTTTCAGTAATTCTGTAAAGACGTGACTCTTTTTGTTAATAATAATTAAAATAATATATAGTGCCCCAAATTACTGTAATGACATGATTGTCAAAATAAATAAATAAATAAATAAATAAATAAATAAATAAATAAATAAATAAATAAAACAGAATATGATATAAGCTCTGGTCCACTGTCTCAGGGGCTCTGTGTCACCTTCTCTGTCAACAGCCTGAATTTCTACGACAGCAAGTATTTCTGTTCTGGAAATGTCTGATCCTGTTCTACTGACGTTAGAGATGCTCTGCATGCTGTCACTTTTAACAGGACTGTTAACTCTGTGAAGGTATCCATATTCTGGCCAGTTCCTACTATCCACTTCCATAGCTCTTACTTGGCAATCCATAGTTAATAAATTTTTAAGATTCCCACGTTTTAATTTAAGTGATCCTGGCTAGCCAGTGCAACAAGTAGTATATATTATATAAATTATATATATATATATCACAAGAATCACAGCTAGGCTTTTATCAATTTGACCCAGTCATAATGATATCATATAAAATCTATCACCTATACACAGATGTATACTAGTACATATAAAGCTGCATTCTAATATCGCTTCTCATATCTCTTATTTAGTATTAAATACATCAATATTAGCAATGATAATGAGATAGTAGAGAATAATGTGATGAGTCCAAATGATTCAACCCACTCTCTCTCCCCCCTCCCTCTGGTCATCACCCACCATCACTACCAGAAGACACCTGTAAACTCTTTTCAATTTTAATTAATGGAGCACAATTTTACAGTAGTCATTAAAAAAAAAAAAAAAAAAAAAAAAAAAAACAGCTGTTAAGGGATATATCACACAGGGTTCATACACCTTAGGTCAAACATTTTTGTGATTCACAAAATAAAAAAAATCCTGTGCACTTTATAATATTGCCAAGATGAAAATGGTATAATACTTATTAATTATGACCACAGAAGTTGAAATTTGAATTTTTTTCAATTGCAATCATTTGCAAATGATTCCTCCCTTCCTTCCAAACCCTGAGCAATAAAAATTCCCTCTGTCCAAACCACTATAACACTGACTGTGAAAATGACAACAATTTTGACAGTTAGCTAAAATAGTGATAAATACAAGTAGAACATATATTGATCTCAACATGTCCCAGTAAGTTGAACATTGCCAAAGAATTGCCACCCAACAGAACAATTGAAGGGTGTTTACAGAGGTGAAATCATGATATTCTACAACGACGAAAGACAACCTATTTGTGTATAAGACTGCTACCATACCTCCTGAATATGCTATATAGAACTCTGAAACAAGTAAATTTCTCACTTGTACTTTAATTTCTTTGTGTCTTGTTGATAAAGCGATGACGTAAATATATGTGAAACTGGGCTGAAACTTACCATAGTGTTTTCAACTCTCGTATTCACATCTTCCATATGTAATGTGTGTAATAAAACAACAATGAATATAAAACTTAAAAGATGAGGACTTTTGTGACACCAACCTTTTTGAACTGCGGCACCCTTTACAATAGGAGTTAATTCACCGTCGTTTAAGTTGAAAGGTCCTCCCTCTCTTGACACAGAGCTCTCAAATTCGACACTCCTAACAGAAGTATTATTTACCGCCATTATTTCTTAAATTATGGCGCAGGTCCCATGCAAAAGCAATTCTTAGCTCGCCCTTATCCTCCTCAAACTTCTAGTGTGCTCGTCGCCATTTTGTCTAAAAATATAGTCACATGATCAAGCTCTCCCCATCAGACCACGTTAATAGATAAACAAAACAACAGGCGAGTTGCTCAACATAGCGCGCTTATCACACCCTGTACATGGATGTAAACTCTGCAACGCCCTGTTCATAAACAAACTGACGAACGAAGCAGTTGTGAAACTGTTCTTTATTATTGATGTGAAAAAAACACTTGCCGAAGAATAATGTCACTGTTCATATATAGATGAGACACAAGCAATTATATAATTAACAGTCAGAGAAAACTTTTTTGTAGGTCGATCTAATCGTACTCTGGTTTAAATAACTTTACAAGTTTCGTTTGATCATCAAATAGCGAGATAACTACTGTATATCTGATTAAATTATAGTATAATTGTAAGATAAAGAGTTTAATGGACATCCCAAATTTAAAGTGATATCGTTATTTTCTAATCATTATTCTTATCAAATTAAGATTTCTTGGCGGGGTAAAAAACGGGTCGCGCACATGCGGCAACACGTGACCTCTGGATATGTCGTCAACTAATATTTACCAGTCTCCAACAATTTATATAATAGAAATTAAGCAAAACACAGGGAAAAAAACAGAGAAAATGAGAAACAAACATATTGAAGCATTCAAAATTACACTTCCCAGTACAATTTAAAGAGGAAGAAGTGAACCCCTGTCAACTTGGCTATATTGTATTTTATTCTTTTAGGTGAAAACGTTACATATAGACCTGAATTTTATCCTAGTGATATCTTAACTCTATGATTTTTTAGTAAGAAAATTTAACTTTTCAAATACTGGGTGAAGGGATATTTTTAAAATAATTATTCTGTCACACCGTACTTAATAATTATTAAGGGTCGCATTTCTGTTACTTAATTTATTATCAGGGGTTATTTTGAAAGTTTGTGGTCTTATGCCCCACACGGGACGATAGAAGAGGAATGATGATTTTGAAAACTTATCCATAAAACACTCAAGGAAAGATGTTCAAACGGAAAGAAAAGAAAAAGTGAAGCTCAAATAAGTTCGTTTTTGAGAGAAAAATAAAAGTAAAATAATATTTATCTTTTTTCTTCTTTTTCGTTTTATTTTCTTATAAATTACTAATAAGTACCCCATAGATCTTCATTATCTTTGCTACCACTTCAAAAATTTGAGTGAAACATTCCATAACACATTATGGTTAACTCATCACATTTCAAATTTGGAAACAAATCGAAAAAATATTTTTGATTGCATGGGAATTTTATTTTGATCATAGACTATTTATAAATAGATCAAAACGTGATAGACTTATCATGCCTGGTCGCTATCGACTGTCCTCGTTTCTGATTGGTTGGCTATTTTTAGCTCCTGGCATGACGTCACATTGTGTTGGTTCCTTGACGCAAAACACAAGGGAAAGGAAAATGGTGGAACGCCGTGATTCCTCCACAAAGAAAACCATAACAAATGCTTAAACCAACCTTGAACGAGGGAGTTATACTTCGACGCTCTACAGGAGGTGAAAACAGTGGACATATTGGAATGTGAAGCTGACAATGGGTGCGAAACAAAGCACAAACACCCCAACACGGACACGGACGTTTTCGACAGGGGATGCGGGGGGCTCGCTCGCAGGAGCCCATTTCGCTATTCCAGCCAGCGTTGCCGAGAGTCTAGGACTGCCAGGGACTAGCAGCGGTGGTGAATACTCTCGTAACAGAGCCAGGAGCCTGGGAGGGGTGCCTAGCACCTCAAGTAACGGACATTCTAATGGACACCCCATAGGAATACCTAACAGTAGTAATAACGGACTCCACGGGGGCGCCTCAAGGGGGGCCGAGGGACATTCGAGTCGCAGTACCCCCGAGGAGACCTCACGTGCTATGACGAGCACTCGAGGACTGGCCCATTCATTACCAGTACATTTGCTAGCGTTTCCAGGAATTTCAGGTAATTTGTTATGAGGTCTGGGTGAGTTATGTCATTTAGCATTCAGACGATGTTGATAGACGTATGACGTCTAATTTCTTGTACTCGCTACCTCACGTGGAACAAAGACCATTAAAAGAAGAAAAACCGCAGCTAAAGATTGATGAATGGGCTTGGATCAACTGTTAGTGGACAGATTTTCAGTATGAGAGGGAAAATTTTGGGGATGAGGTTTTTTTTTTTTTTATTTGAAAGTGCCCTACTTTTTGGAAATCCCCAGTATTTGCACAGTTAGTGCGTCATAATTACCCCCTTTGCAAGAAAGCACACATATTTGCAGTATTGCAGTATTTTTTGCCACAGCAAAGTTGAAAAATTGTAAACAAAGAGCTGTTTAGATATATTTTTAAGTTACATTTTTACACCCCCTCCCCCCCCCCAAAAAAAAAAAATATATATATATATATATATATATTTTTTTTTTTCGATCGTGCACTATTGGGTTCATTCCCATTGAAGCTAATAGTCTAAATAGAAAGATCCAACTTACATTCAGCAGGAGTCCCCGCAGATTTGGATCGATCTGCATAGTCTGAAGGCTTCAGTGGAATTGAGCCCTATGAGCTGATTTAAATTGTGCTTGAATTCAAATATTCAACTGGATACAAATAGTATGAATACTGGATCCTAATTCCGACATTCTATTGAAACTGAAATTCAAAACTCTAGATAATTGCAGCAGAATTAATGTTATATAATATCACAGCACCCAACATTTCAACAGCCACTTTAAAATAGAAAACTTGTAAATGTCAAGACTATGGTGTTCATCCTGCTGGAAATGGAACTTTTAGTTGAGTGAACAGAACACAAACGAGGTGTGAGAAATAACTGTCTTCTCATTTCCTCGCTGTGACTGAGTGGTATATTATGGCAGATTAAAAGCCTTGGTGTTGTGTGGTGTGAGATCTTTAGATATCTGTCTCTGGTTGATCAAAGATTTTGTTGGAGGAAAGGAAGGGAGGGGCGCATAAAAATTAAAAACTATAATTTGGATTAGTAGACAAGGACAATTTTAACGTAATACATAGAAGACAGAGATGAAAAAGAAGGCTGGTTTTTGTCTAATCTCACTTGTTATATTTAATTTGAATATTTTGATATCAGATATTTTGTTTCGAATTGCCAAGAAATTTTTTTTATAAAGTTGTGTCCTGTATTTTAGTATATATTTAGAAAGATGGTGAGGTGAGAATAGACCCAGTCTTATCCTTAAAATGATGTGAACTGTTTTAAGGATAAACCCTATCCCTAAAGTGATGTCAATCAGCTCTCCTTAAGTCTTGTTTTTGAAATGTGAGTTTGTCCTCAGACAAAGACAGATCAATCCCGTCAATATTATAAGTATTTATTTATGTGTCCTGTCCTAAGTTAAGATGGGTGAACTGCCTTAAAGTTGTTCTAACTCCTGTTGACTGTAGACGGATTTGTCTAAGCTTGAATTCACGCTGCTACTAAACCAACATTCACCATCAACCATCGTTATTATTAAAGCACGAAGCACGTGTATGGCTGAGTACATGTGCCCGCTTGTTTTGTTTGCTATCGATTGTACGGCTTACCGAGAGGTTGCCTCCTGGTCTGGCGAGTGCTTGGCGGTCATTGTACCTTGACCACACAAAGAGAGCAGAATCAAACCCTACATCAATGGTGTATAAAACTCCTTCTTTGTTTTCTTTTAATGTGACGCAACAAGGGAATTTAATTTCACAGCACGCCTGATTAACAGTACTGTTTACTTGCTAGCTGAGATAAATAAACAGCTTATTGTCCATTATTGTGTTTTTAAATTAAACCTCCTGTTGTAGGAAAATACCTTTGAAATTTTTTTATTGAAAAAAGTGTGTTGTATAAGAAAGTCAGCCAGGGCAAACTTGTTGTTTATTTGTTTGTGATTCCTAGTGTTTATATAAGTGTGACATGTGAATGTAGGTACTCAGGCCACCCGTATGGTTCTAGTACCTGCTTTTTTTTTTTGTTGGATTTGGAACACTTGTATAAGACCTAATAGGGCTAATCGGTTACTAGTATCTCAAAGGCCAGTTAAAAATACTGCTCTTATCAGTTTGAACTTTGAAATAAGGAAATGACCGAATTGTATTTATGTAGAATAAAAATGACACTCATTGATTACAAATTAACAAAGTTAAGATAATATAGACAAGTTTATTTTGATTTTAGAAATGCATGACAAGTAAATATGGCTTGCATAGGGTCAATGGAAAAGTTATGATAATATCTCCCAACATAACCGCCCAAAGACTTGTAGTTCACTCAGGTTTTCAGGATATATGTCAGAAATGGGATAACTTCAAGTCGATTAGATTTGGGTTAAGGTCCATTAATTAAATATTCATTTATCTGATAATGAGAGTTGAGGTGTCCTGGCATGGTGGGAGGTGGGGGGGGGGGATCACCGCCCGCTCTCAGTGAGGGCTCTTACAGAATTTGGATCCTAAAAGTGCAGGTAATAAGTCTTTTTTCATTGAAGATTTAGCACATCAGCTTGCACCTAAGTAACTAGCTATAAGATTACACTGCAAATTATTTAAGTTAACACAGTCTGTATTGATCAGGCGGATCCTAGTGGAGTTGGACACATTCACACAAGAACTAAATTAGACTGGAAAAGGGTGTAGTTGGACTTGCAAAGAGCAGACCCCATTAGGCATCAGATTAAAAAACAAGCTGTTTTCACAAAAGCATTGAAGATTGAAAAACCGTTTCAACTTTTAGACTTGTCTACTAGTGCTTCAGTTCACAAGAAATTCCAAGTAATGAACTCGAGTGAAATAATTAGTTGTCTGAAACATAAGCCATTGCTTTCTTGGTATAAATGGCACAATATTTCATTCAATAGAACTACTACCGATTTGTCTTACCTTAATTTATTTGTTTGTTTGCTTGTTTCTTTTTGCTTTATTTTGTGTATGTGTTTGAAACAAGCTTTTGGATTTAAAGATTCCTGTTCTTAGTTGAAGCAGATGTGAACGCAGCCAAAGGATGTCATATTATATCATATTCTGCCAGTGAAACTGTAAGAGGCAGATGTACAAGTATGAAGTATTCATGTCCATGCCAGATGGTGGGTCTTTGTGTGGGAAACCTCGACACCTGTCTCTGATTGTGGTCCAGTTTGGCAAAGATTGGAATACTTACTCTCTGTCATATATGAAATGTACCTTTTCTTTGTGATAGATATACTCAGTGTGTGCACACACACACACACTAGAGTTTACACCAGTTTTGTAAAGCACAATTAAGTAATTATAATAATAATTATATATATATATATATATATATATATATATATATATATATATATATATATATATATATATATATATGTGCAAATTGACAGATATTTCATCAAGTAGCATACAAAAAAGAACTTTGCCCTGAAAATTGACCCAAACTTGTAGACCAAAATGATAGTCAGTTTTGACCCAGTATAAATTAACCCATGCTAACATTTGGTCTGTTTTATAATAAGAAAGATGCAGCTTATGTTTAAATATTCTACTCTAGATGTATGTTGTACTGAAGAAAAGAAGATTTTGGGTCTATCAGTTCAAACCAATTTTTATGTCTAAAGTCATTTTATGGAACAGTTAGAAGGGGGGGCAGTGACCTGTGGAGCAGGTAGGTTACTGGTAAGATGGTGTACTTGATAACCATCTATAACAGCAATAACAGCGATACATGACTTTATTGGGCCTGCTCCTATATTAGGGGAGGGTGATAAAAAACCTGTCCCTCATTTCTGAACTATTTCATACAGATTACTTTGGTGTTTTTGAGACTGTAAATTCTTATAAAATAAGCTTTAAATTTTTAGAATAAAAAGTATTTTGAGCATGCTTTACATTTATTATTATCATTATTATAATGTGAAGAATTTAAAAGAATGATTCAGTCAAAAGCTTGAGGCCTTTGAAGCTATAAACTTAATGTGTGCTAGTATGCATGTGTGTGTGCATGTGTATTTAGTTCTGATCATTTATGATAAAATTTTGTAGGTGTTTTGTCTGTGTTGTTCTTCTGTTAGTAATTGTTTACGAAACCTCTATTTCTGCTTTTTATGTCATTTTACTGAATTTTAAAAAAAAATCATTTACTAGTAACCATAGTTACAAAATTTTTTCTGAGTCTAAACTGAATTTTTAGATTGAGAATTGAGACCATCTCTTGATCGTGATCTCTTTGGTAAAAACCGTCCTTGTTTCATATTAGCCATTTATATCCAACTTTATAGATTTCCCATTTTTTTCCACATCATGATGCCAAACTTGATTCGAATCTAGACCACAGTGTTCAGTATCACATTGAAAATCAACCTTCTGTCGTGAGCAGTTCTTCAACCCTGGATCTAGTAGTGAATATATCTGATATACAGGGCTGGACAGTGGTTACGAAAGTAATCTGACCACCACCATATAGGACGGGATATATCTTGATTACAAACTGACCACAGGTTGAGTTGCATGCTGGCTGTAGTTAACTGGAGTCCAGTGACTGGTGAAGACAGGGTCAAGATGCTTGGCCTTTTTGAGTTGACATGTCCAAACTTGCTATTCGGGTATGGCCAGTTTGAGGTGGTTTGACAAAAGTGTTTTAATTTTAAGTTCAAGAAGCTTGATTTCGTTTCCCAACCTTTGCTATGCAAAAATTAATAAAACAGGTAGTAAACACTTCTATATTTAGTTTGTGATTGGAAGGTATGTTTTAGTTATATATACATATATCTGTCTCCTGAAAATTTGTCTGTCTGTGCTTGTCTGAATGTATGTATATACATTGGTTATGTGTGTGTGTGTGTGATTGTAATTATAGAATTGTGCAAGTTGTCATATACAGCAGATCAGTATTGCTATCTGTGGATGTTCCAATATCTGTGTGTTTGCTTGATAAATAAGTAAGCAGTTCTTGTTTTGAAGGTGAAGGGGGGGGGGTCGTAATTT